CCCCTTGTCTTTGCTGGTGGACCCCTTGTCTCTGCTGGTGGACCCCTTGTCTCTGCTGGTGGACCCCTTGTCTCCGCTGGTGGACCCCTGGTTTCCGTTGGTGGGCCCCTTGTCTCTACTGGTGGGCCCCTTGTCTCTGCTGGTACACCCCTGGTCTCCGTTGGTGGACCCCTTGTCTCTACTGGTGGACCCCTTGTCTTTGCTGGTGGACCCCTTGTCTCTGCTGGTGGACCCCTTGTCTCTGCTGGTGGACCCCTTGTCTCCACTGGTGGACCCCTGGTTTCCGCTGGTGGACCCCTTGTCCCTGCTGGTGGACCTCTTGTCTCTGTTGGTGGACCCCTTGTCTCTGCTGGTGGACCCTTTGTCTCTGTTGGTGGACACCTTGTCTCCACTGGTGGACCACTGGTCTCCACTGGTGGACCCCTGATCTCCGCTGGTAGACCCCTTGTCTCCACTGGTGGACCCCTTGTCTCTGCTGGTACACCCCTGGTCTCCATTGGTGGACCCCTTGTCTCTACTGGTGGGCCCCTTGTCTCTGCTGGTACACCCCTGGTCTCCGTTGGTGGACCCCTTGTCTCTACTGGTGGGCCCCTTTTCTCTGCTGGTAAACCCCTGGTCTCCGTTGGTGGACCCCTTGTCTCCACTGGTGGCCCCCTTGTCTCTGCTGGTGGACCCCTTGTCTCTGCTGGTGGGCCCCTTGTCTCTGCTGGTGGGCCCCTTGCCTCTGCTGGTGGAACTGTCACTGTCATTGCTTGTTGTTGACAAAAGCACTTTTTAAAGTGATTAATGAACGTATCCTTTCTGATGATAATTTTGAGGCAAAAGGTACAATGATAGTGGTTTTTGGCCACACAATGTAAGTGGCATTTGTAGACGTTATATCCTAAAAGAAGGACAGAAAAACATATTTACCGTACATAATCCAAAAGGGAAATCAATCATGGGTTAAGATTAGTGCAAATATTTTTTTATCATAGCACTGGCATTAAAATCATATTAATTCCCAATCTTAACTGATTATATAGATCAGCGGTGCCCAAACATTTACTCCAGAGGGCCAAAATTAAAAAGTCACACACACACACACACACACACACACACA